CAATTACAATATTATATATTGATGGATTTTCGTCGATAACTGACTGAAAGTAAATCGACTTTATGTACTTTAATTAATTATAATCGTCTTGACAACAATACAAGTGGGACGTCAAAGAGTCACTTGACTTCTTCTATCACACCCAGGCACAATGCAATAATTATTCGACGCTTTTTTCCGTCAAAACGACGATTTCTTTCCCTGGCTCGATTGTAAGCAATACTACGGCTGAGCCTCAACGTGCGTAGTGACATCACATCAACGTGGCGGTCATTCGAAACTTTTTCAAACGCCGTTCATTTTAAAATCGTGTTTGCTAATCACATCGATTTCTCTTGACAAAAAAATGAGCACCAATAATTTTTTTAATGTTCTTGGAGTTCATTTTCAAGGTTTTTGAAAAAAACGACCCAATTGACAAATGACACCTATATGGGGGCAGCCATGATGTGCACTCACTTGGCGCGAAATTCAAATCAACTAATAAATAAACATTAACCTCACGTTTTCTAAATAAATTACTGTCACACGTATCATTTTCGAAGTCTGCAATAGTCTCAAAACTTGGGCACTAGGAAAATTCCCCTAGAAAATAACTAAAACGTGCACATCATAGCCGCGCCCATGCTAGGGCTATTTCGACCTCTATGCAACTGTTTGATCAGCAGTCCATCTTAATTTATAAGTTCGTGGTCACGCCTCTGTGCCTCTGGCAAACGCTTGAACCTATTCGGTTCAAACCTTGCACAGTTAACATACACATACCAAATGTAACAAGCCAATTGAAAATTGGTCAAATCCAATGACCCCGTAGGGTCACACCGAGGTGCTCTGCCGATTTTTTAGATGCTTTTTATGGGTTTATTTTAGTTTCCATTATCAGACTACCTTCCCTGCCGCCTGTCACTTTACCGACCGCACCTGTGACTACCGGCCGCACCTGTCACATTGATAATGTCTATAATGACTCCTGCCATCTCTTACAGATTGACATTAATCAAAAGAAAAAAAAATTTTAACACAAAACTCATCAGTATAGAATTTGACACTACTTGACTCGGAAATTAAAGGACTCGGACCCGCAGGAGTCTCGCACTTCAACATTTTCTCGTATGTAATGTAAATAACTATTCCAAGATAAAATTTTTATGACTTGTGGATTTCGAGTAAATCACATCGATGTTCTTATTTACTTACACTCTCACATTAGATTTTTGCGTTCCTCGATAGAGAAAAAAATTACAAAATCAGCGGTACCAAGCACTTAGTATTTCATTTGGAAATCAATTTTGAATGTTAACCATAAGGTTTACAATGTATATCTTATGGTAGTAACACCGTGAATTCATTCGTTTGTCTAACTCTAGCATAATCGCCATCAACACGGTTATAAAATTGTGGCCATAAGAAATACATTGTAACATTTATGGCAAAAGTTTTTAAGGTTGACTTACAAATGAAATAGGTAGGTACTAAGTAGGTATTCAGTGTCACTGGTTTTGTAATTCTTTCTCTATCGCGTGATGTAAAAATCCAATATGGCGTCAATAAGAAATGAGAAAGTTGATATGATTTACTTGCAACCCATAGGTCCCCATCAGGAAACTAAGAAACAATCGCTAAAATTATTTTTTGATATCTTTGACAGTAACTCCGCACTAGCGCATTCTCGAAAATGACATTTTGTGGTTTTTAGCCATATCTTCGCTATTTGTAGAGCTACAAGAAACTTTGAATGGGAAAATTAATCGGCATAAAATTCTGCATAACTTTGCTCATTTAAGCATCTTTGTATCTCGATTTACGAGATATTTTGATAGAAGGTGGTATTCTGAATACAATGACACCTCATAATTGTGTGATTATTTCACATTTCAATGTTAAAAAATTTAAATTTTAATCTAACGCACGATGTTCAAACGGTCCATTTTCTGTTGAGGAAACTTGGAAAAACCGACCGAACTTTGTTATTTTAAAAAATGATTACAACTTCAAGTCAAATTTTTAAAGGTAAACAACGGTGGCTCGTTAGCGCATTCGTATAGTATTTTTTGTCAATAATTTGATACCGCAATCCGCATACTCACAATAGAAACAAGTTAAAAAGTAATCGTAAACGATTTACATAAAGCGCATTTCCACTTGCATTCATTTCCCATTTGTAAGAAGCAACTTCTATAAAATCGTAAAAATCCGGCCACAAATATGAAAAATAGCGTTGCACATGGGCAATCCATTTTTGTCGTGCTACTTCAATGTCAGTTTATGAGAAGAATTTCATTTCAATACTTTTCTAAATAAGAAAGTTGGAACTGCGCATGCGCAAACCTAAATTTTGAAACTAATGTTAGATTTTCCTTTGTTCCAAGCGCCTAAATATCAAATTTCACTTAAATGCTTCCATAGATAAAAAAGTTGGCACTGCGCATGCGCAAAATAAAATTTTGAAACTGGCGCTAGATTTTCCTTTATTCCAAGTGCCTATGTATCAAATTTCATTTAAATTCTTCCATAAATAAAAAGTTGGCACTGCGCATGCGCAAAACCAAATTTTGAAATTGGCGTTTGATTTTCCTTTATTCCAAGTGCCTATGTATCAAATTTCATTCAAATGCTTTTATAAGTAAAAAATTTTGCAATTCGGTTTATAAATGGTCGAGATGCGAAAAGGGCACTGTGAATTTTGAATCGATTCGATTCAACTTTTGGCGTTGCGTATTATATGGTTAAAGCTATGCCCATATTGATTTTCATGCAATTCAGTTCATAACTAACGGAGATGTAAAAGTGATCGAACATTTCTAAACAAAGTTATCGTTCACACGGACAGATAGATGGACAGACAGACAAAGGAACAGACGGACAGACCAACCAGCAGGCGACAGATAGCAATGCAAAATTATAAACGATCTCTAGGATCGTTAATAAACGGCAAAAGTGTAAAATTATGGAACATGTAAAAAAACGGTTTTTTGTTTTTTTACAATAACTTTTTTTGTAAGCGGTACAGAAAAAATTCCTTCCTTGGTACAAGACTCGACACCATAACGAACCAAAAAGCGAAAAAAGTAGAACAATAGCTCTTAAGATAAAGAACTAGTAGCGTCGCAAAACGAGCGGACGGACCGACGGACGGACGGACGGACAGCCGGACGGACGGACGGACGGACGGACGGACGGACGGACAAAGTGGCCACAATAGCGCATTTTATTTTTTATTTTTGTGGAAATGCGCTAAAAAGCATTTTAAATTAATATATTTTTAGTATGTGTGTTGCTTAGGAATACGTTAAAAAGAGCCATTCTTGTTCAATTTGGAAGAAATTGACTTTATCTTAAACTTCAATAAAGAAGCAAAAGCTTTAAAGATCAAAAGGCTGACAAATTCATTTTTCCAAGCCTCCTTGACGAAATATTGAATGTTTTAACATGCTCGTAGCACACTACATTAAAATTAAAATGTTATTATATACCTAAGGTTAAATTGTTAAACGTTGTCCTATGAAGCGTCATTGTTATGTTTTATTGAAAAAATGAAATCGTAAACAGAGAGACTAACAAAAGCAATTTAGTACCTACATCTTTTTTTAACAAAAGTTAGTAGTAGGTACATAAAACAAAAATCACTTTTCTCACATTATCTTATAGGGTCACAGTACAAAATAATCGTAGGTACCTATATAAGGCAGAAAGTGTTTCTACTAAAGCCTGAAATAAGCAATATTATTGTAATGTACTATACCTACAATTCCAAAGTTAGGAAAACCGTAGTTACCTTACAAAAGGCAATTTTATCTGACAACAATATAAAATTGCTGGGTAGGTTACATTGTTCCTGAATGCCATTTCATTTTATACTCGTAATTCCTATTACCATTGTATTGTTCTTCCTTTATGATAATTACTAATCGGTCTATTCAATCTTTCACAATGGCTTTTAAAGTGTAACGGTATGGTATAGTACCCCAAGATTTTAGGATTTTGTATACCCATATAATAAGTGACTCGTCAGAGTAGTTGGGCTCTTTATTTAGTTAGGACGTTGCTTTTAGCATAGGTTTTCATATTTTGCTCCTAATAAAGAGATCACCGGTATTGGTGTCATTTATTCAACATGTTGCTTTGCAATCAAAAATGATATACTTACGTCATTCATTCTAATGCGTAAGTAATTAATTTTATTGAATAAGCGTCTGATCCACGAACTTATAAATTAAGATGGACTGCTGATCAAACAGTTGCATAGAGGTAGAAATGGTCCTAGCATGGGCGCCGCCATGATGTGCACATTTTAGTTATTTTCTAGGGGAATGGAAAATGATATGTGTCACAGTAATTTATTTAGAAAACGTGAGGTTAATGTTGGGTTAATGCTTGTTTATTAGTGGATTTGAATTTCGCGCCAAGTGAGTGCACATCATGGCGTCCCCCATGTAGGTGTCATTTGTTAATTCAGCATTAACAGTCCATCTTAATTTATACGTTCGTGGTCTGATCCATGTGGTACCTGTCATTTTAGGTAGATTTCTATCTACCTATACCTATGGTACCAGTATATGTATAAGTTTATAGATTTCTTGGGCTTATGGGTTTACAGGTTTATATACAGTGTGTCCCAGATCGCGTGGGATTGCATGGGTAACTTTGTTATTATTAAAGATAGAGAATTGGTTAAATGGGCAATGTTTTGCAGTTTTGGATGCTTATTTAAAATTTCCTTATGGAAATTCAAAATGTCGCATAGGTTCGACGTAAATTCCAAAAAACTAAAATTGGTCATTTCCTTGAATGTCTTATATCATCGAAAGTATAATAATAATAAATAATATATATATATATAATCATGAAACCTTTCTACCCTTAGGTGTAAAGGTATTATAGTACAGCTTCACATTTAACTTAAACAATTTCATTGTGATTACATTAAAAATGAAAAAAAAAGTAAATTCTCATAAAAAAAAAGTAGTATTTATGTGTGTACAAATTTCGCCCACTCTTTCTTATTCTTGGCCAGGGTTTTTGCTGCTCTCCATGTGGTATTTCTCGCCTCTAGTATCTTCCTTATGTTCTCGTCCCATGTTATCTTCGGTCTGCCCCTTTTTCTTTTGTGTTGGCTCCTGGATTCCCATACCTGCTTCACTTGTCTTACGTTGTCCATTCTTTGAAGGTGCCCCCACCACGCTAATTGTCTGTTTTCAATGAATTTTAGTATTGGTTGTACGTCCAGTTCGTTTCGTATGTGGTCATTACGTAGTCTGTCCATTCTTGTTACACCTTTTGTTCGTCTAAGATATTTCATCTCCACAGCCGTTAATTTACTTTTAAGTTTTTGTGTTAACACCCACGTTTCACACCCGTATGTCAAAATAGGTCTGTACACTGCCTTATACACATTTATTTTAGTTTGTTTTGAGACTTCTTTTTTACTTATGAAACTTTTGTTAATCGCGAAATAAAGTTTTAAGGAGTTGTTAATTCTTGCGTTGATTTCTGCATCTTCATTACCTGTTTCGTCTATCATTACCCCGAGATACTTAAATTGTTTAACATGTTCTATGGTTTCCTCGCGTAATGTGATTTTTGGATTCAGTTCTTCTGCTCCTATTGCCATGACCTTAGTTTTCGTGGTATTTATGCTCATGCCATTGCTTCTTAATTCCTCGTCCCACACCTTCAAATTGTTCTGCAAATCCTGTTCCGTGTTTGTAATAATAACTATATCATCCGCAAAAGCACATTCCGATACTAATACCCTATTCATCTGCCTATATCCTATAAAAGCCTTCTGTGTGTTAGCGTTGCAACTTTTAATAACATCATCCATAAAAATATTAAACAGTGTCGGACTTAGCCCTCCACCTTGTCGCAATCCTTGTGTTGTAGCAAAGAATCCTGATTTCATGTTTTTCCATATCACATAGTTAAGAGTGCTTTTATATAAACTTTTAATTACTCTAACCAACTTATTATCAACGTTTCTTTTCAGTAGACTCTCCCAAACTTTATCTCTGGGGATAGAGTCAAAAGCCTTCACTAAATCAATAAATGCAAAATATACTTTTCCTCCTAATTTCTTCTTTTCTATCATTTGTTTGATTGTGAATATGTGATCCTGCACTGATCTTCCTTTCCTGAATCCGCTTTGTGTATCTGTAAGGGTTTGTTCTGTGCTTACTGTCAGTTTCTTATTTAGTATTTGCTCATAAATTTTCATCACAGTACTTATTAGTGTTATTCCTCTGTAATTATTACAATCCTTGTTATCGCCTTTTTTATGGACGGGCACGATTACACCTATCTCCCAATCTTGAGGGACCCTTTCTTCCTCCCATGCTTTGGTATATATCGCTCTTAGCAACTCTTTTCCGGAAAAGCCCATGTTTTTTATCATTTCTCCGGTAATTTTGTCATGTCCGGGTGCTTTATTGTTTTTTATTTCCTTCAATGTTTCTTCGATGTCTTCCCCTGTTATCATTCCTGTAACATTTTCATTTGTGTTTCTTGTTCTTCTCCTAATACTTCTTTCGTGTGTTGTAGGACTTGTATTGTTTTCACCGTCAAGCAGTTTCTCGAAGTATTCTTGCCATCTCACCATTATTTGCTCCTCATTTTTAATTTTCTCGCCATACTTGTCTTTAATTTCCATAGGTATGTTAGTCTTTCCCTCCTTGAGGGTTTTCAGCACCTTGTAAAATAACTTTTGATGGTTTTTACTATCTCTCTGCAGCTTCTCTCCAAATTTGATCCAAGCAGTTTGTTTAGCTTTTATAATAGTATCCTTGACCAATCTTCTTTGTTCTTTGTAAAAATTATAGTTTTCGTCATTTCTGTTTGCTAGGTATTTTTTCCATGCTGTTTTTTTTCCTTCCACTTTCTCCCTAATATCGTTTGTCCACCATGATGTTTGTTTACGTTTGTTCGAATGCTTGCATATTCCGCATATCTCTCGAGCTGTCTCTATCGTTATGTTCTTGAATTTTATCCATAGCTGCTGTAATGACATGTTTCCTATGCTGCCAGCTGTTTCTGTCATTTTTCGATGTGTTGTCTCTTTATACTTCTTCGCAATGTCCATGTTAGAAAGTTTATACGTTTTTATTGTTTCAAATTCCATTTTCTTACAACTCAGCTCCTTTTCCTTGTGATTTTCCACGTTTTTTATTCTTGCTACCAATAGATAGTGATCACTGCCGATTTCAGAGCCTCGTCTTACCCTAACATCTAATATGTCGCTTTTAAGGTTTTCCGGTACCAGTATGTAGTCGATTATTGATTTTTCATCTCTGCCAGGTTCTACTCTGGTATATTTATGGATGTCTTTATGTTTATAAAATGTATTCGTTACTATAAGGTTATGCATTTGGCAAAAGTCCAATAAGCGTCTTCCATTTTCGCTCCTTGCTTGTTCTCCGTATCTACCAATAACTGATCCATATATCGCATCTTCCACCCGACCCTCCCGTTAAAATCTCCTAGGACGTATATCTCCCCTGTACATCCTTCCATCACCTCATTTAGTTCATCCCAAAAAAGTTCTTTCGTGTCCGCTTTATCATTTTCATTTGGTCCATATGCGACGATGATAAATCTATGTTGTTTGTCTGCTTTTTCGAGTTCTATGAGAAGTATTCTTTCTGTTCTTGCTTCCCATCGATGAATTTTATCCGTTAGTTTGTTGTGTATTAAACATCCAACACCTGCCGCTGCTCTATCTTGTATTTTCACCCCGCTGTAGATAAGGACATGACCGTTCGGCAAATACTCACACCCTTGCTTCTTCTTTTTTGTTTCAGTTATCGCGAGTATATCTAGCTTGGCGTTTTCGAATTCTTCAGTTAGTTCAGTTTCTTTCCCATTAATGCTCCTGATGTTCCAAGTTGCAAGTTTCCAGAATAAATTTTTGGTTTTCCTTATGTCATTACCTTTTCCATTGCAATTTTTCGTTACCATGTGACTGTCGAGATATGTGTTGGTTAGTTTTTTGGTGTTGATGTGCGCGTTACTTTCCTTGATTGTTCCATATAGGAATCCCCTGTCGGTGATCTCTCGCTTACTGTACGTTTGGCAAAATTCATTCTTTCTCCACCTTCCGTTATGTGACTGCTACTTAGCTCTTCAATACCGTACATTTCTCCATTAATGATTAGTTTGTTATACTTCATTTGTGTTTTGTATCCTTTTTGCTTCGCTTCTTTCATGTGTGGAATTAACATCTTCCTTTCTTCCAAAATTTCTCTCGAGTAATCCTCATCGATCCATATGTTGCTACCTTTCAAGTTTTTAGAGCTATGTAGGATTTGTGTTTTCTTCATACCTGATGTTAATTTAATAATTATTGGTCTTTTATACTGGTTTTTAAATTTCCCTATTCTTCTGATTTCATCTATATCATTTTTTTCATCCATTTCAACCCCTATATCTTGCATTAACTTTGTTACTTTATCTCGCGTGTCTTCAGCTCTTTCGTTTATAATATCCTCAACTCCTTTGATTATGATGTTTTTCCTCCTTATTTCTCTTTCCAATGAGTCTATTTTTCTGTCTTGGTGTAGTATTTTTTCTTTCATTAATCGATTTTGTTCCTTCATTGCAGTGTTTTCATTTATTAGTCTTTCAAATTTATCATCCATTCCTGTTAATTTGTTTGCTATTTCGGCGAACATGTTTTCTATTTTTTCCATGTTACTTTCCTCCATGCTGTATTTTATTACCGTAAATGCGCTGTAATTTTTGTTTGGCGCGCTCGAATTTTGTTAACGTTTACGCGCTATAATTTTTATTTACCGCGTTCAAGGGCGCCCGCTATCTATTTGTTTATTTAGAATGTCAATTGAAATTATACTTACAGTAGATTATTAGCCGTTTTCCACTTTTTAAGCCCGATTTTACGTACACTGGTTCAAACTGTGAAGCTGTAAAATGTGTTAACACTAGTTATTTTTCAATAAAGTTTACTTATTATACGAATATCGAATTATTTGTCTGCACAACGCGGTGAGCCGTACATACGGTTTTCACTCCGCGAATCAATTCTTAATAATAATAATAATAATAATATAATAATATGGTCTTTATTTCCACATATATTTTGTATTAACTTAAAAAATCTGGTCTTTGAAGTCGAGGATAATCTGAACCTTTTTGTTTGACAATTTTTGGTGTATGTCTAATTGTCTAAAAATAAAATGGCGTGGGGTATTCAAAGATTTCCGTAAAAAACACCATGTATCTTCGAAACGATAGAGCGGATTTTAACAAACTTTGGCTAGTTGAAAAGAGCTACTCTTGGGCTACAGATATTAATATTTGAAGTTTTTTTAGTTTTACATGTCGCTTTTTTCGACATTCCGACAAAAATGGTTAATTTTCTCAAAATAATTAACTGAGTCAGTATGATTTATTTTCATGAAAAAGTAGCTAAATGATGCTTAAACAAGCTCACGAAAACCGCATCTCGATATCTTGCTCCTAACCTAAAATTTGAGCCAAACAAATTGTATACCCTTAGATCATCAAAATAGAGGGATTTAAAGGGTTTACCAATAGGGACGATAGGATTTTAAACGTTTAAGGCGGCTATGTTGGATGCCAAACATTTGACATATGCTGTCAGTTGTCATCAGTAAGGCTTGCCATTTCATCATGAACAAGTTCACGTTGCCTCAACGCTTGGAAATTATCCAACAACATGCCACACAGCGAACGCTACAATGGACTTATTGCGTCAACAGTTTGGTGAATCGTTGATTTCTCAAAATGGCCCCCACAATTGGCCGCCAAGATCATGCGATTTAACACCATTGGACTTCTTTTTGTGGGGCTATGTGAAGTCAAAGGTTTATGCGAATAAACCCAAGACTCTTGACGAGCTCGAGGCCAACATTCGAGCGACCATAGCTGCCATTCCACCCGATATGATCCACCGAGTCATCGAAAATTGGTCCGATCGGATGAGCCAGTGCAAAAAGAGCCGCGGTGGCCATTTGAACGATATTTTGTTTAAATCATAAATGGCATGAAATACAGCATCTAATAAAACCAATCAAACCTAAATTTGACCAAATTGACTGTGTTTTATTTCAATTTAAAATCCTATCGCTCTTATTGGTAAACCCGTTATTTAATTTTTTTAAAAATTACTTTTAGAATACGCCCATATTATGGCCCGTATGAATAAAGGTAAGCAAATGCTTATACTTGCAAAATTCAACGTAAATACTCGTAACTGCCCCTTCATACTGGTCTGTTTAGCATGGTTTAGCAGCGCTGCCCTGCGTCCTGTCCTTCTGCTTAGAAGCGCTGTTAAGTCGCTCAGTGCGAAGGAGCACTTACGAATATTTACTTTGAATTTTGCAAGTATAAGCATTTGCTTACTTTTATTCATACGGGCCTATATCGCTTTGCATCAGGCCTTGATTTTGATCGGAGAATTGCCATTATGATACGCGAAAATAGAGAATTTTTATTTCAAATTCTTTGGATCGATCAAGCCATCTTTAATAGTCACGGGAGAGTCAATCTGCACAATATGCATTAATGGTTTACAGAAAATCTCCCATGGTTGCGTGAAGTTCAGTACCAAAAGCGTTCGAGTTTAAATAGGTGGGGTGGCATACAACTAGGCAGATTTATTGGGTTATGTTTTTCGAGCAATCCCTAAATGGCAATGTCTTTCTTGACTTTTTGGCCAATTAACTACTGTTGTTGGAAGCTGTGCCACTAGAAACACGGAAAAACTTGTTTTCGCAGTTGCATGGTTGCCCAGCACATTTTACTATTATTTTCATGAAGTCCACAATCCTAGGATTGGTTGGACGCAGTCCTTCACCCTTTCCTAGCCTGCGCTAATTTTTTCACTTCTACATAACTACTCTTGCCTACATCCCTAATTATTTGGTCTATGTATCTAGGCCTCTGTCGTCCTACCCCTCTCCTGCCCTCTGCCCTACCTTCTTATAGCTTCTTCTAGGATTGGTTGGACGCAGATCTTCATTTCCTATCCTGCGTTTTTTCACTTCTACATTACTACCTTTGCCTACGTCCCTATCTATTTGGCCTATGTCGTCCTACCCCTCTCTTGCCCTCTGTCCTATTTTCTATAGCTCCTTCCTCTTCTTGGTGTCCACAATCCTAGGATTGGTTGGTCTTTTCACTTCTACATAACTACTCTTACAAGTAGATATACACAGATCCGTGTCCAGGGGATGGCCAGGTGGGACTGAGCCCCACCTAGAACGTAGTCGTGCCCCCAGTGGAAATTACGATTGATGGTTCCTATAAAAAAATTGCAGTGGAAATCCTTATCAAAAACTTCTTAAGCCCCACCTCGAAAAATACCGGCCACCCCTGCTACTTCATTCTGGCTACGGGCCTGGATATACACAAAAATTCGAATTTTTAAAACTTAAGTGAATTGTTTTGGAAAAGCGCCGAAATTTGAAGAAAACAGAAAATTCATACAACAAATTTTGGAAAAATTTAAGAAAATGTCTTCAAGTGGACGTAATGAGAAAATTATATGAACACGGAAGGAATTTCAATTCAGAAAAATATAAAATCATTGAAACAGGATTGTAAAAGTACCAGGAATCTCATTAGAATACTGGAGAGCGGGAATACTCGTAATATTTCAAAAAATTAAAAAATACAAAAACATTCGGAAAAACTAAAAAGCAAATATTCCGAGAAACGCATAAAAGGTTCGTAAGTTCAGACGATGCAACCAAATCGCAAAACACAAGTATACAAAATCAAATTGATCAAAAATTCGAAAATCATTTACGAAAATACAAAGTTTAGAAAATGTAAAACTATTGAGAACACAAAAATTCAAATAGAGAAAAATTAAGAAAAAAATTGTGAATTATATGCATGTTTACCCTTGTCAGTTAAAAAAGGATACAAACAGAGACAGAACTGACAAATTTAAACACCTATAAAAATTTGGAACAATCATTAAAGGATTAAAAATCAAAATTCATAATTTACTAAGATAGAAATGGAAAAATCTTATGCAAAATTTAGAATAATTCTATAAACCTAAAACAATTTTAAAAATAAGATAATTAGCAAATCAGGGAATTCCTGGAAAAATCGAATGGGTAAATCGTCCAGAAAATGTAAAAAAACACAGAATAGTTCCAGCAAACGTAGTTCTCTTTTTTGTGGCGATGAATCGTTAAAAAAATAGCCCGAGCTCGGGAGGTTCGAACCCGCGTCATCATAATCTATAGGCGACGACCGGGTTAAGCAGCCCTGTTCTAAAGAATTCAACAAAATTAAAAATACTCAAAAGCATTAGAATCATTAAGTTTCAAAAATTCAGAAAATCTGATATAAGTATATATTTTAAATGATTTC